CCACACTTAATGTCTTTGCATAAGTATACAGTAGTGACATAAGTATAAGTGATGTTAGTCTTATCTTATCTTCAGGCCGTACCTTCATGTATGAGACTAGTCAATTCACAATTAGTTTTCAATGCCATTTTATGTGACCCATAAAGTCCATCGATCAAAATTCTACATTGCGCAACCAAGGTGTATAAGTAATTGTAACATAGAGTAATATGCACAGAAAATACCAACTTATGTTGCCAGTAGCCAACCAAGCATCATAAATTTCTCTGGTTGAAGAGTCCACCCTTGGTTGGTTGTCCGATATTAGGAAATTTCACTCTCTGAATTCTGAATGTAGTTTTAGGGCATTTAAAATAATAAACAAACTATAATATCTGTTTATGTTGTATTTATAATTAGTTTTATGTTTTATGATGATAGTAACTAACTAAACTATTTGTTGTTTAAATCAAATTTGACCCAATACCAAACTTTTGACCGAAATCACGAACCGGATTAATATTAAGTATACTATTTGACTGCACGATGGCGCGGTGGCTGGGCAACTGGCTGCCGTGCAACGTGTCGTGGGTTCGATTTCCGCACGGAACAACAGTTTGTGTGATCTACAAATTGTTGTTTCGGGTCTGGGTGTGATGTGCATGTGAAATTGTATGTTTGTAAACGCACCCACGACACTGGACAAAATCCTAGTGTGGGGAAACTGAATGTTTTTATTGTTTACAAAATACAACATTCTAAATAGCTATCTTTTTCAAAAGGCATAATTTGTGATTTATGGGAGCTGATATGAGAAATATTGTTCTTTCTTACATTGTGTAGACAATAAAGATAAAGATTCCTATTTTGAATACTATGTAGAATTTAAATACACGCATGTTTTATTTTAAGACTTTTGTTCGTTTGCGATACAATTTCTTAAAGCGAATCTTTATTTAGACTAGGATAACTATTAACAATTAAAATGGCCTTTACACAAAAAGAAAATAGGTATGGCATTACTCTTTTTCGATTGGTCTAAAAATGATAGAAAACGAGACAAAATACATCACACATCAGCAGCCTAAAAGTCCCCATTGCTGAGCAAAGGCATCTTCTTACACGGAGAAGGTTTGAGCATTAATCATCACGCTTGCTCAAGGTGGATTGGCGATTTCAAACTAATAATCAGTAATTATTAGTCCAGGTTTCCTCGCGATGTTTTCTTTCACCGTATGTCTATAACTCGGAAAAAGTCACATTGGTTCTTGGCAATCATCATCATGCATGAGAAGCAGGCGCGTTAACCTCCAGGCCACCGCGTCATATCTAGTATAGATATGGATATAGTTTCTATAAAGCTGACTTATACATTGACTTAGTTTAATCTGATAACCAAATACGTCGGTCAGACAGTTAGAATAGTTCGTGACATTAAAACACTTGTTAAACTTATGCAATCACCTACTAAGTGCCTAGCTTAAGTGATTCTAAGTTAGCGCTAAGTTCCTAGTTCTCAACTTAGTGCCAAAATGTGGTTTCGCGCTGGTTCAACTTAGGAACTGCACTCTTGCGCTTGACTAAGCTTATACCTAATTAATTATTAAAATCTTAACGTTGAAAGATTTTTGAATTGTCGGGTTTTAAAAATATTTTTTTTTTTCATAAAATTATTACATTGGTTTTGAACTACTGCGTTTTGTACACCGCTAAATTTTTATCGTTTTAATCTCGTAGAAGGTCGATCCAGTATATGAAACACTATCGTTTGTAAAGAAAAAAAAAGGAATGTACCTGTAGATAGTTTGTTTGCAACGTCAACTATTACCTACAGGTCATTAGACTCGATCAGTTGACGTTTTAATAAAGAAATTATTTTCGAATATGCGTGAATTATTACGAGTTCCAAAAAAGTTAAGTAACTTTTTATTTAAATTTTATCTTTTTTTGATAGAATTTCATCTATGTTTGGAAACGTGACCCTGCACGGGGTGTTTGGCTACTGAGCTAAACAATGTTTTGAAAATGTGTGGCTTAAAATCATATATCTGTGTGCCTATAGTTTGTACGTCATTTTTTCTATTTAAATTCGTAACATGGATGGCAATATGTTTTTTCAAAGTGCGACTATTATATTATATTTCAAAGCAAATCTGCTTCTAAGCACATAATAAAACATAATATAAAACACGTTTCCTTATATTTTGTGTTATGAATAGAAAAATTCAATTCAATTCAAAACACATAAGTCCAACGAAATATTTTGCACAATATCAAAAGGAAAATGTAGAATAAACATCAAAATGTTGTTTGAAGTATTTTCAGTGTTTATTGAATGAAATACAGCACAGGAAAATACCTTCCATTTCGACTTAAGACGTCTTAAAATCACTTTACTAGTACAAGCTGGAGCGCGACTCAAAAATAGGCCACTCTATTCACGGGGTTTCTTGACGGTAAGGCGCATTACATATTAGCGACTTACTCAGAAACAACGTAGGTATCTCATTCTTTTATTTTTGAAGTTTCAATTAAGTCTAAATAATGAAGGTCGTAAAGAAAAAAGTTTTTTAAAGAATTAAGTCTTTCGATATTTGTGTAAATCGAATGTTCTAGAAGTCATTAGGCCTCTATGTTTTAGTAGCCGTGAATATGATGATGATAATGATGAAGTAGTAGTTGTTGTGTTTTCCACCAAAAGTATCTTGTATTTTAAATACTGTAACTCGCATTACAAATATACACACGATTGATAACATTTTTTATTGAAGGATTGCTCGATTACTGATAATCTCAAGAAAGTAAAAGACATTGATATTGCATAACTTTAGAACAGTTGACTATACAGTCATTCTGCAATGACACAAAATTGATCTGGGTGCTATTGTTTGAATTAGGATATTTAAAAAACCTTTATACCTTTATACCCATTATTAAAAATGTTACTTATATTATTTAAATATGTTTTATGTTTTGTCGCTCGTGTGCGTTGATACTAATGTCAGGTAGCTAGTTGCAACTTTGATGAGTTTCAACTGAACGAAATGAGGAACACAGTGGGACATTTTTACGTTATTGAGAGGTAAACTATAGTGGGTGATCCATTCTATTTATAATAGAAGTTATTAAAACGTTTTTTGAGAGTTCTCAGGTATTATCTAGGAAAATGATAATATCTGGAAAATATTAATGTTCTTATACCTGCTTAGACACTCTACGAGTAAAAGATAAGTCATTTTGATTGCATGAATGGCACATGAGCCTTCTGATTACCTGATGTTAAACAATCAGCGCTGTCCATAGACACACGAAAATATTATAAACGTTTTAGGGGTAAGGGATTTGAGTCTTAGTGTTTAGGGGTGATTGAGAAGCGGAGGAAAAGGCCTACGATTTCCTCACTTACATGGCGAAAGTATTGTTTCACGCCGGTTTTCTAAGAGGGCGTGGTACCATTCGTGCCAAAGCATGACTGTTCCACACTTAAAAATTACTATTTTTATTTTATATAATATAACATTCATTTCTATTGTTTTCAAATATGTAGTCCTGTAGACAAAAATGTTACTTTAATCAACCATCCTGAATCTACCTCCTTACTATAATACATACTTGACAAGCTACCATAGATGTCACTTGATATATTTGAAATAACATCAAAGCCTCCTTGGTGAAATATCGTCGGGTTCACTACCTGTAACAAGAGAAGACAAGTGTTACTTCACAGGGCAATTTAAAACTAATTAGTATAGCAAAAAAGTATATTATTATGTAGTGTGTAATATTTTTTACGTTACGAAGCTGATAGAGTATTTTTCTATGAAAATAAAGACACGTGTCTCTGCAAGTTGAAAGTCAAATTTCAGAAATAATTATTGTCACCTGTATTGCTAATTGACTGTTGCTAATTTTGAAGACACAAATATCAAATATGCTCAGTTCGGATACTCGTGCGATTCACTATAAAAATACTCTAATCATAGTCTCGCTTGTTAGCACTACAACTTTATCGACTCCTTTAGGTAGCATTAGGGCGGCAAGATCACATGTCTACTTATTTTAATGTACTTCTTGTTTTCTTTTCCTTTGTTGATCGATCGAGTCAAAACCACTAATAGCTTGCAAAAAGTGTCATGTAACATTTTTGGGTTGATCCACATATGTATCTTTTATTTAGTATTTCCGCCATATTGTGTGACACATGGCAGAAGTTTTACCGAAGTGTTACGCGAGATTTATAACGTAGCTGTCTATAGCATCAGAGGTTTTTTTTATGGTATTGGGTAGCAAATAGGAAAGCGGATTACTTGAGGGTAAGCAATCGGCCTCGCCAAAGGCCTCAAGTAACATTAGACTTAAAAGAGTATTACCGGCCTTTTGGAGATCAGAGGTTGAAGATTTGGGTGTAAAGAGATTTGTGATTTAATTGCATGACCCTCACGCGTGACCACAAAACGCAAATATAATTTAAGGTTAAAACCCTTGTAGTCATATAGGGAGAAGGGTTAATAAATGCTACAAGCGGCGTTGTATTCGGTCTTGTTCATAATATATTCACATCTATTCATCTCATATTAACACGATGAATGTCTCAGGTGTTTTAATCAAAGGGCTTGGTATCAAATACACATTATTTGTATATTATTACATTCTCAATTGTGTTTAGTATAATGACGAAATTTTCGCAAAATGAGAACATGTTTTTGACGATGTTTATTAAATTATCTTTGATATTAAATTGTAATGTTGATATTTTTGTTTTATTTGCGTCGGAAAATTCTGTATTTTATGTATAGAAATGTTAACCTGTGAGTATATATGTTTTTTTTTTTATGTAATAGATCGGCAAACGAGCAGACGGATTACCTAATGGTAAGTAATCAGCGCCACCCATGGACACCCGCAACGTAGGAGTTACGAGTGCGTTGTCGACCTGTTAGGGATTAGGGATTTGGAGATTTAGGGATTGAGGAGGGATTGGGGGTGGAGAAGGATTGGGCCTCCGGTAACCTCACTCACACGGCGAAACACACGGTTTCACGCCGGTTTTCTGTGAGGCCGTGGTATCACTCCGGTCGAGCCGACCCATTCGTGCCGAAGCATGGCTCTCCCACACTTAAACACGTATTTATTTAAATTGTTACTAGGTACTCTATTTATCTAGGTCGTTGTGGCCTGGAGCCCGGCGGTTAGGCGCCCGATTCTCGTACATGGGGGGTTTAAAATCGCGAACCTACCAATGTGACTTTTTCGGAGTTAGGTAAACGTACTTTCTAATTATTTTAGACACCATTGACAAACCGTGAAGGAAACATTTTATGGTGGAGGTGGAGAACCATCAAATAGTTTTTCTGCCCTGGGTGAGACTAGATAATTATTTTAGTAAGAATTTGACACACCCAGTATCAGATTCTTACAAACTAAAAACCATCACGTCCTTTTTTTCTCCTCTGAACAGCAGTGTGATTCTGTAAGACTTCATTCTTAACTTCGAATCTGAATCCGCTGTGAGTAATAGCGCACTAGCGCTACACTTGCGAGTTGAACTAAATTGACCGCAACATTTTGATAGAGAAAGTATGAGATGACGTTAAAAGTGACATTCTATAATGTAATTTCACCGTTACTTCGACGCTCACTTCACAATCGAACAAGATTCAAATTTAAACAAATTTTATAGAATCGACGTGCAGGGCCATTATTGCACACACTAACGCAGGAGTTGCAGCGGCGGTTGCACAAACGGCGTCAGTGAACACAAGTGGACTAATTGTTTTACTAACAAATTTTTTGTTGTATATTTAAAATCGTAAATCTGTCAAGGCGGCAAAAATCATCATGCTAATTTAAACTTAAGAGCAAGTAACGTCCCACTGCAGTCAGCAGTGGGACAACTTACTTATGTTAATAATGAGGGCCTCATTATGTATGAAATTGATCTGTCCTTAATAATAGTTCGTTTGTTAATACAGATGCTGATTTACGAGTGAAAAATCTAAAATATAACATAGTAAATATATCTTAAAACCGCTTAAAATTAATAAAACATAAGAAAAAATATTGGGATTGAAAAGCAAATGAAATCATAATTTTTGTTCTTAACGAGCTTAAATAATTTTCAATATTTAATTGGCAGTCTAATCAAATAAACCCGAGATAAGCCGGTTAAGCAATCTGCGTGAAACAAATTTCCGGACGTCTAAAACGAAGGTTATTAATGATTTTCAATTATGATTTCCTTAAATTTAATTCCCAACAATTTTGAAGAAGATTCTTAACCCTTTAACTACAATAGAACAGATCTTATTCAATTTCATTCTGGTCAGGTCTGTCTGTGCTGTGTGTTTATTTGTTTTGTTTTTTAAAAGTCCAGATGTTACAGACTGACAGACATGTTTGCCCAGGTATTTAATATACTCCTTCTTACAACGCATTTTTTCCTGCGTGGATGTTGCAGGTATCCATGTGCAGCTCTGATTGCTTACCATTAGGTCATTTATAAGCTGGTTTACCGTCTATTCTATAAAAAAACATTTACTTGTAACGTTAACACAAAAATATCTGAACTTATGAATGCCAAAGGGAAACTCTACATCGTAATCATAGTAAAAGCTATAAGACATCCGCTGCTATCCATACCTATGAATATCAATCCACTAATGAATTCTAGGTCAGCTGATTAAACAAGGTGTAGGAGAGCCATGTTTCGGTACGAATGGGTCGGCTCGACCGAAGTGATACCACGGCCTCACAGAAAACCGGCGTGAAACAACCACAGTGTTGTGTTTCGCCGCGTAGGTTACCGGAGAGGCCCAATCCTTCCCCTCCCCCAATCCTGTTGTTGCAGGTTGCTGGTTGGTGTTGGTGTTGTTGGTTGGTGCCAAATTATTTCCCTCTGTTGTTGCGGGTGTCCATGGGCGGCGGTGATTGCTTACCATCAGGTAATCCTTATGCTTGTTTGCCGACCTACCAAATAAAAAAAAACAAATAAACAATAATGGTAATTATGAAAACAAACTAAATTACAGTATTTGCATGTGTTTTTTCAGACGACTAAGTTATTAATAAAATAATAATTTATCATGTGTCGTGGGTACTTTGGCAAAGGTCCGAAATAACTGCGAAAAACTTACAAAATGTTCCATGCGTTTCACAGTAACAAGTTACCCGGCCACTACGCCGACAGTGCAGAATGAAATTTTATTTTGATTTTAATAGAATAGAATATAATGAAACAAAATAATGGATTTATTATTCGAATAATTAACATTTTTGACTGAATTAATTGTTATCCCTATAGCACAAACCTTCTGATATTTCCAATTTAAAATGTATGTTTCTTCGATTCAAACTTCTATGAACTCGAAAAACAGTCGTTTATCATGATGTATGCTTGCGATTATTGCATAAAAAAGCTTTTAGTTCTAACAAAGGTCGGCACAGATTTGATAATACACGTCTAATGGTCAGTTGGGGTCAATGTCCGAGGGACCTATTCGTTATGGAAGATGTAGAATGATTTTGTTACATAAACATAGCAATATGTTTGAAAGTAAGAATGGAATATTTTGGTAGTATTTTTATATATCATATGTATATATCGTAGGTTTAAAACAAAGTCGCTTTCTCTGTCCCTATGTCCATTAGTATGCTTACATCTTTAAAAGTACGCAGTGGATTATTTTGCGGTTTTATAAATAACTAGCTACTCTCGCGCGGTTTCACCCGCTGCTCGACTCCATTTAATCCCAGCGTAATGTTTTATAGCCTATAGCACTCAGAAACATTGTAGCTATCTATCAGTGAAAGAATTTTGGCAATCCGACCAGCGGTTCCAAAGATTACCCCATACATACAAACTTACAAATTTTACCTCTTTATAATATTAGTACCTATTGATATTTCATCGTTAACTATAAACTTAACCATGTGTATACAAAATGTCAAGCAAAAACAAAATCGAATTTTCTTTTATTTTCAATCGCCTTTCAATAACTCCCAGTACATGTAAGTACATATCAACCTATGGTGGTCATCTCAAAACATACTCTACTCCAAACGTGTTACGGCACAAAACCGCTCAACCTCACAATTCCCATAGCTCTCATGTAAAGCTAGTAAGCAGTCCAATACACTGATAATCTTGTACTGCACCATCTTGATTTCCCCCAGGATAGGGCTGTATCCTAAGCAAAGCAAATACTGGTTATATGAGTATTTCAAGAGCATATCGGGTGAAGAAAACTAGCTTCCTTTAGTTTTTGTTGAGAAAAAAGTAAATAAGAAAAGGATGTTGCCAACATTTGTTTAGGTCCTTTTAATTGCGAGCTGAGGACACCATGTATCCGTTTAATTTTGGTATTACTCGATTTTATGAAAATATTTTCATAACTCGAAACTCTGTTATTTTACAAAGGTGTGTCTGTCTCTCTACCCATGTATTTCCTGAAGTAATACCACAGAACATCCAGATAATCCGGTTAACAGTTATACTTTTTACTTAATGAATTATATCAGACCTGGAACCACAAAGATTTTTCCAAAATGAACCACAATAGGAAATGCAATACGCATCTTCTTTCACCAATGGCCTAAGTGAGGTCTTTTTTATAAAAAATATCCTAATTTTTTTCCCTCTGAGTAGAGTGAGAGAGCGTGCCTGACTTTTGAAACGGGACAAATCCGCTACAACCTCCCATAACTGCTGCAGCTTCTGTAAGCCACGATCTGCAGTAGTTAACCATGAAAACACCGGAATACGTAGCGTGTCAGATTGTATAAAACAGTATTGTACTTGCTGTGCAATACGGCTGGGCTGTGCTACAATATTGTACTTGCTCCCACAATTCCGAGCCTGATTGAGGCCTTGGTCTCTGACACTGCGATAAATGTGCAGTCAAAGTTGTATTTCGTTTTTGTTGAGTTTTTAATTATACAAAATAATATTTATATTTTAATAAATACACATTTTTATTTATATAAAATATAACAATATCTATTGAAATATATTTAGAAATATTTACAAAAGTTCATAGAATCGATCTGTCAGTAATTGGAGCGGTAACACCCGAAGTTAGACGCGACGGTAACGAGCGCACTAGTTACGCAGTTAAAAGTTACTTTGAATGTTTACCTGGGTATGATTAGACGAGGTATTGCTATCGTGGTTACTATGGAACTTAGAAATAGGTTTAAAAAAATATGATGGGGATGATCTAGCATATCATGCTTTTTTTAAGGGGAGAAAATCATCAAATGCCTCTTCCCATCGTGGGAGAAAGTCTTATTGACTCTGTTCCTTGATTTAGTAATAAGGTTTTTAGCACTCTAAGAAATTAATTTTATATACGAGGATAGGGGCACCGACCTTAAAATTAAATGATTATTTAAAACAAGTTTTGTTTTACATAATAAGAAGTTTCGAATATCAATTTTTCCCTTCTTATCTTTAATAGATTGAAAATAAAAGCATCCTTAATTTGACTTCGCTTTAATAAAATCCATTTTTATAAGAATTTAAGAGTTAAAAAATGAATTTTAAATTTAAATAATACAAATAAATTTTAATAAATAAATATTTATAAATTTTGAATTTTAAAAAATATTATAAATAATTAATTTAAATTCCACGCTTAACTTTAATGAGTGGCTATTTTAAAACCACTCAAATCTTATTAAGATGATTGGTACCAAGCAGAGTGCTACTAGCATTCTCCTTCCGCAATAAACACAAATTAATTTATATAAATCTCAACTAATTAAATACCCTCTTCTGCGAAATGAGGGAGGTTTTATGTTGCCACATTTTTCCGTGTAAAGGATTTCATAATTTTCCTGAACCCTAAAGATATAAACCTATTTCACCTGCGGGTAATATAATTTAGTATGTTAATAAGAAGTTTCTAAAATGGTGATCTACTCAATAATACTCATAAAATTAAAAAAAAATAATAATATTAATCATAAAAGTAATAATACGCATAAACTGGCAATTGAAATGATGTCGAAATGCGAAAAACAAGTATCTAAAAAAAAAAATGAAAATGAGTTGGCCCGCTACATCTTCAATAGATATTATATCCCATCGAG